TGGAAGAGAGTGAGAAGAAGGTGGGATGCGAGAGAGGGGTCGAGGAAGAGAGAAAGGGGGAAGAGGAGGGTTGAGGAGAGAGAAGGGGGTGAGAAGGGGGTTGGGTGAGAGAGAGAGAGAGGAGGGTTGGGGGGAAGATAGGGTGAGGGAGTAGGGGACAGAGAAGGGGGATGGGGTGATAGGGAGATAAAGGGGGGGAGAGGGAGTGAGTAGGGGGAGAGAGTGTTGGGGGGAGAGAGAGAGTGAGTGGGGGGATAGAGGGTTGGAGGTGGGGAGAGAGAGAGGGTTGAGGGAATGGGGGTGTAATAAAGAGAGAGAGAGAGAAGGAAGACAGAATAAAGTGAGACCTGATAAAGAGAAAATTGAGGGATAGAGAGAGAGAGACTGCAAATGAAAATAGAGAGGGAGGAACATGTAGACTAGAAAGAGAGGGGTATAGAGAGAGGAGGAATAGAAAGATGGATATAAAGAACAGGAGAGGAGGGGTAGAGAGAGAGGGAGTGACAGAGTGAATGGAGCAAGAGTGAATAGAAAAGAGGAAATAATGAGAGAGAGTGAACAGAGAGATAGGGAATCGAAAAAGGGAGTAAAGACAGTGACAGACAGAGAGGAAAGAGAAAGTGGAATAGAAAGAAGAAGTTAGAGAAAGGGTCGAGGGAGCAGGCAAAGGGAGATGGGGAAAAGAGAGAGAGAGGCACAGAGAGGGAGTAGAGAAAGGAATAGAAAGAGGGAGTTAGAGAGCAGGAGAGGAGAGAGGGGGATAGAGTGAGAGGGAATATAGAGGCGGATTAGAAAGCAAGAAAAGGAAAGGGGATAGAGAGGGACAAGCGAGAGTTCATAAATTCAGTTATGAGGATAGAATGGGGAGGTCAGGACTGTCCTCCTGGAGATGGAGAAGGCTTAGAGGAGATCCGATAGAAATTTTCAAAATCATGCAGGGGCTGGACAGCATAGACAGAGAGAAACTGTACTGTTTGTAAAAAGAGGTCAAGAAAGAAAGGGCACAGATTCGAAGTGACTGGCAGAACAAGCAAACGCAAGCATCTGTGGGAGGAAAGCAAAGTTAACATTTTGAGTTGCTTAAGTCTTCATTGGAACTGCAAGTAGCGGGGGAAAACTGGTATTTATGCTGGAACCAAAGTGTGGGGGAGGGCAGAGGTGAGCAGATAGGTATAGACGGAGCTCAGAGAGACGGAGAAAGATATGACAGAGATATGTAAACAAGGCGATAACAGATAGCTGGCCAGGACAGAAGAAAAGCTGAATAAGAGATCATACAATCAAAGAGTGAGAACACGGGAGAGCTGTATTGAGAAGGGTAGTACCTGAGACGTTGACTGCTCCTTTCCTCCAGATGCTGCCTGGCCTGCTGTGTTCTTCCAGCCTCCTGTTTGTCTACCTTGGATTCCAGCATCTACAGTATTTTATGTCTCTAACCATGGGCCTAGGATTACGTGAGAATGCGTGACCGTGCTAAAAGAAACCTATGTTGTCACAGGACTGGGTCTGGCAGTGGGTTAAAAAATGGATGGAATTAAAGGATGGAATCAGGCTCTAAACTTATTTAACTTGACGTTGAGCCCTAGAGGCTGCCGTGTCCCCAAGCGGAAAGAGAGATGTTGTTTTTTGAGCTTGCGCTGAGCTTCGCTGGAGTGCTGCAGCAGGCCTGAGACAGAGCAGGCTAGAGAACACAGCGGTGTGTTGAAGTGGCAGGAAACTGGAATCTCCGGGTCGCCCAGGTCTACGTTTTGTCTCCCTTGTGTAGAGGAGATCACATTGTGTGCAGTGAATATGGTAGACTAGACTGAGTGAAGTGCAGGTGAATCGCTGCTTCACCTGCAAGGTATGTCTGGGGCCTTGGATGGTGAGGAGGGCGGAAGTAAACAGGCAGGTGTTGCACCTTTTGCGGTTGCAGGGGAAGGTGCCATGGGGCTGTGGGGTCGGGGGGTGGGAGGGGTGCGGTATTGGGACCAGAGGAGGAATGGACCAGGGTGTCCGGGAGGGAACTGCCCCTGCAAAATGCTTGCAGAGGAGGGGAGGTGAATGTGTTTCTGGCCATGGCATCCTGTAGGAGGTGATGGAAATGGCAGCTTATTATCCTTTGGATGTGGAGGCTGGTGGCATGGAAAGTGAGCAGTAGGAGTTGTCTGAGAGAAGGGAAGGGACGGGGTGAGGGCAGAAGTGGGGGAGATGGGTCGAATATAGCTAAGGGTCCTGTCAACCATTGTAGGGGGGACCCCTTAGTTGAGAAAAAAGGTGTACGTTATAAGATTGTGAATGGCATGGATATAGTATAAAGTATGAGGCTTTTTTTCCAGGGTGGAGGAGTCAATTACTAGGAGACACAAGTTCAAGATATTGGGGGGGCAGGGGCGTGGAGTTTAAAAGAGACGTGCGAGGCAAGTTTTTCACACATAGAATGGTGAGTGACTAGAACCTGCTGCCAGAGGAGGTGGTGGAAGTGAACTGCTGCATTCAAGAAACGCCTGGACAAATACATGAATGGGAAGGGAATAGAGGGATATGGATCCTGTAAGTGAAGAAAGTTTCAGTATGGAAGGGCAAAACAGGCTTGGAGGGCCTTTGTTCTTTGTTCTATTTCTGACACCCACTGTGGAAGGTGAGATCGTCAGAACAGATGCAACAGAGACAGAGAAACTGGGAGAATGGGATGGAGTCCTTACAGGAAGCAGGGTGTGAGGATGTATAGTTGAGGTAACTGGGGCTGTGGGTCGGTTGGTTTGATGTGGATATTAGTGGCCAGCCTATTCCCAGAAATTGAAACAGAGATGTTGAGGAAGGGAAGGGAGGAGTCGGAGATGGACCAGGTGAACGTGAGAGCGGGGTGAAAATTGGAAGCAAAATTTAATAACTTTTCCAATTCCAAACAAGAGAGGAAAGCAGCACTGATTATGTCATCCATGTACTGGAGAAAGAGTCATGGGGAGAGAACCAGACTAAGTTTGGAATAAGGCATATGCCACGTACCCCACAGAGACAGGCAGTACTGGGACCCATGCAGGTACCCATGGCCACTCCTGTGACCTGAAGAAAGTGGGAGGTTAAAGGAGAAGTTATTCAGGGTGAGGATGAGCTTGGCCAGGTGGTGGAGCTTGGTGCTGGATGGGAACAGTTCAGGCTTTTGTTCCAGGAAGAAGCAGAGAGCCCTGAGACCATCATGGTGGGGGTTGTCCACGCTAAAGACCCTCTTGATCGGTGAATTGAAGAGATCAAGGCAGGTTTGCAATTTGGATGTGGACTGGGGCAATGACATTACAGTCATCTACACTCTGTTGGTCATGTGTGTCGAAGGTGGTTACCTCCCTGTCTCTCTCTGTTTCCTGCCCTCTCCCGGATGCTCTCTCTCTCTCTTGCTCACTCAATCACTGTGAGCAACAGTGGGTTCCCAGTCCCGGGTAGATGGTGGAAGTTCTGAAACTGACATGAAGCATCAGAAGTGCGGATGTTAGTGGGAAGGGACTGGACAAATGAGAAAGAATAGAGTTGAGGTAGGTCCTGTGGGGCAGGAACAGGCAGAAACAATGGGTCAGCTCGAGCAGGCTTGTTTGTGGATTTTGGGGAGAAGGTAGAAGCGGGCTTTATGGGCTTGAGGGACCATGTGCTGGGAGACTGTCGCAGGTAATTCCCCAGACGAGATGAGGTCGGTGACAATGGCCTGATGTGGGGTCGTGGCCCAGGGTGGGATAGGAGGAGGTATGTGAGGGCTGGCGTTCAGCACCGCCCTTGTCAGCAGGATCCGAACGACTGTCTGTACCGTAGCAGAAATAGGGCTGAGTCACAGAAGGTGGGATGCCCTTACAAGATAAGCTTGGGAGGGTGTAGATGGGACGTCACCTTCTATGATCTGTCAGGACTGGGAGTGTCAGGCTTCAGACTGACCGCTTACATTTGAGTCAAGAAACCGCAAGGCTCTATGGACTGGGCTGTAGAGATGTGGATATCCAACAATTGCACCTGTTTCAGGTTGATATGAGTGGAACGCCTCGAATGGAGACCAGAAAAGTCAGACCTTCAAAGTCTGGACCAGTGCCGAACGTGACTGTTAATAGTATGGGTCCTGTAGTACAATCTACCATATACTGGTTATTCATCTCAAAGACCCACTGGCCTTCAGTGTAAGTTTTAAATAACGCCTAGAAAACACTTGGAACATCAGTCACCTCTTTGCCGAAGCTAACTACCATCAATACACATGACCGATGAGAGTGTAGATGTGTAACGTCATCGCCCCACTCCACATCCAAATTGCAAACCTGCCTTGATCTCTTCAATTCACCATCCAACAGACCGTTATCACATTTGTCGGTTTGCATTCAGCACAGCTAACCCATTTTCTTGGTCTCGGCTCTTATTACCGTTGATTCAGTTTTCCTTCTGTTCTGGCCTGCTATCCTCTTGAATGTTGCCAAAACAAAACTCAAACCACCCCAGACCTAGTCACTCAAATAGTCCACTTCCCATTTACATTGAAGGAGAGACTCTGGAAAACATTGAGCATTTCCCACACCTTGGCAGTCACCTCCTTCACAAGGAGATCCAATGCCGGATCAGTTGAGGCTTCTACAAACTAAACTGGCGAATGTTTGACAAAGACTTTCCACAACCGGACAAAATCCTTCACGACGATTCAAGTGCAGGAGCAGGGATGTCTTGCTACAATTATACAGGTGAGAGCATGCCTGCAGTAGTGAGCACTTTTGGTCTCCTTATCTGAAAAAAGGATGTTCTGGGAGTGCAGAGAAGGTTGACCAGGCTGATTCCTGGGATGGCAAGATTGATATCTGAAGAGAGATTGGATCAGTGAGGACTATATTCGCTGGAGTTTAGAAGAAGAACTGTAGAACTTTAGGGGTCTGTAGAAACATATAAAATTGTAACAGACTGGGCAGGGTAAACACCAAAAGGATATTCCCAATGACTGGGGAGTCCAGAACCAGGGGTCACAGTTATAACTGGGATGAGGGGAAATTTCTTCACCCAGAGGGTGGTGAGCCTGTGGAATTCTCAACCACCAGAGAGCGGGTTGAGGCCAAAAATGTTGAATATGTCCAAGGAGTTGGACGAGCTGAGCCCTCGGACAGACATCTTCAACTGGACAAAACTGCACAAATTCCAAATCAATTGCTTTAATTTCCTTGCTTTTTATTTTGAAATCCAAGATGGCGCTGGAGAGTGGACAGAATCTTTGCACTTTTCACTGCATTCCGGTCCACGTGACAATAAAGCTAATCTAATCTAAGGGTATGGGGCAAAAGCAGGTAAGGGGACTGAGTCAGATGATCAGCCATGCTCCTACTGAATGGCGGAGCAGGCTCAAAGGGCTGAATGGCCTACTCCTGCTGTCTAAGTACGGAGTACAGTCTAGTTTAAGTACAGTTTAGTCTGAGTACAGTTTTGTTCATCACTCTTCTGTACTCTAGTGAGACCTGGACTGTGTATCAACAAAACATTAGCCTGCCTTGGGTTCTATAAGCATTCAGGCAAAAATACCTGCAAAAGATCAACCTACTGGGCACCAGTTGGTTGAAGCGTGTTGTCAGGTCTTGTTTATTACCCATGAGGCACAGCAATGATAGAGAAGGGAGGGAAGTAAATCCAGCTGCCTGGGGTTGGGGGCCATGCACAGACCTGTGAGTCAGGAATCAGCCTGTTCACTCATGTGAAGAGCCAATGGCAGGAACCCACCACCTTGAGTGTGTGACATCCTCAAGTAATGAGGCAGTCAATGACAACAAGATAACACTGCCCTGTTAATCCAGAGACCCAGAAAACTTCTGTGGACATGGGTTTGAAACCCAATATAGAAGATGGTGGCACTTAAATTCAATAAGAAAATCTGGAATTAAGAGTCTAATGATGACCACGGATCGATTGTCAGGAAAACCCATCTGGCTCTTTTGGGAAGGAAACTGCCTTCCTTATCTGGTCTGGCCTACATGTGACTCCAGGCTCTCAGCAATATGGTTGACTCTTAACTGGCCTCTGGGTAATTAAAGATGAGCAATAAATGTTGGCCTAGCCAGTGATGCCCTCATCCTGTGAATGAGTTTTAAAAAAAAAGACTGTCAGCCTGGCTAATATGTTTGATTCTCGCAAATATCAACTTCGAGTGTAACCCACTGATACACAGATTGCAACTTAAACAAAAAGGCACTTAAATGAAAACACTGGATCGAAAGTTTTGGTGTGCATCATCTTTATTTAATATTTAATTTGTTAATTTGTAAAATCAAAGGAGGCAACAAAGTTAGGGAGAGGGGGAATGGGGAATGAGAGAAAGAAGGGGAAGAGAGAGGGGAGAAAGGGGAACAGGGAGGGAGAGGGAAGTGGCAGGGAGGCAGACAAAGTGAGAGAGGGAACAAGGGAGAGATAGAGAGAGGAGTGGGGCAGAGAGGGAGAAAGTGGCATGTGGGGCAGGTGGGGAAGGGGGCTGCTACTGGGAGGAGGAATGTGGGGCTTGGGAACCAGTGGCGGAGTGGGACTGTAGAACAAGTGAAGGGAAATGGGGAAAGTGGTGCTGAGAGGGCCTCCCAATTGGATTCTGCCGATTGCTGGCAATCGGAATTGTTTTGCTGTAGATTTTGTAAGAGTCACACATCCTGCTGGAGCACACAGGGTTGATACAATCACACACACAAAGAAAAAAAACTCAAAGGGGAAGACAGAAAAAAGAACAATGCGTCACAGGAAGTGAGTAATGGTTTGTGCTGTCTGCAAGATTTCACCATACGCAGATCCAAATTGAGATAGAAGAAGAGAAAAATGCAAACATACAGTCAACAGATATAGAGACAAGTATCAGTAGATAGATAGACAGATGAGATATACAGATACAAAATAAATAAAGTTAAAATACTGTGGATGCTGGAAATCTGGAAAACAGAACGCTCTGGAGAAACTCAGCAGTCTGGCAGAACGTGTGGAAAGAATAACTGAGTTAACACTTTAGTGTACAGTATTTTCCAGAATTTACAGATTAGCACCCAGACACAGAGAGAGAGACTGACAAATAAGTTAAATAAATAGCTAGATATAAACAGCTTCTGCAACAAACACAGGAAATGCTGGAGAACCTTAGCAGGTCTGGCAGCCTCTGGAGTGGGAAAGCAGTTAACATTTTGATCGTTCAGATCTGATTAGTATCATTAACTTTATGTAATTTTTCACATCACAGCATCCAGTGCCTTTTTGCCTTTTTATAAACAGCTTCTATTCCAAGGATGAATACCATCAATTAAATATTGATAGATAACATATAAATAAAAGTACAGATAAATACAGAGAGATGAAGTGTGTGAGTGAAATGGAGAGAGAT